GATTCCGATCGAAATGGTCTAAGACTCGTTGTTCGAACGAGGGTGGAAGGTGACGCGGAGCAACTCCTTTATGAGTGTTGGGCACTGTGCGCTGATTTTCCCTGATTCTTTGGACAGCACCTAGGATTGACCGGACACTAGTAGGGCAGACGCGAGTTGCGCCGTATCTCTCATGATAAGTACGTTGAGTTAACGCTGAATTTTGGCGGCATTCGCCATACAATAAAATCATATCTGTATACTTTGCCGCACTGTAAAAATGCTGTTGTCTTGGCATTTTCCGCCGCCAAAACGTAGACACAAAAGTCAAGTAGTGTCAATATCACAGTGAAAAAATAATAAAAATAAACGTACTTAAAACTTAAAGAATTGTTTGACTAATTGTATTTATCTTACGAAAAATAAATCATTTGAAGCAATGCGCGTAAGCAGCGAAACATATAGCGAAATAACAATCGATAAGTTATTGATTGTTAAAAAAAAGTTTATTTTTGTACAATTGAACTTACGAAACTACCGTTTTGTAACTTCCTAGGAAACGGGTAAGTATGTATGACTTTTTTAATTGGTTGTTTTTATGGGTTTTTTATCATATCAAAATAATTTATTATCTCTAAATCTACAAGAACAGACTTAAACAAAAAAGCTTTAAAGTTTACTTTTAAATACTTAGGTCGTAGTGTATTTAGAATTATCATAACAACACGATAATTCTAAAAAAACCGTGCCCTAAGTGTTTAAAGCTAAACATTTTTTTTGTTTATCAATTATTACTCCCTTTGAAAGAAGCTAATCGTCGATAACAGGTGTCCTACTCTACGACAAAGGCACTTGCGCCGTCGCTTTTGAGGAACGCCGCGTGCCTCGTGCCACTTGTTTATGGACGCCGCCAAAAGACACCACTATCGATACGTCGCTTTTTAATGTTCAAGGGTTAAAGTTCATTGAATCATTGACTTAGTGACCCAATTCTATAGAGAGTTCAAATTTGCTTAAAATTAAAACTGTACTTTTTGACCTAATTAATGGACCGATTACGTTCATTTTTTTGTATATCGTCAGCAAAGACGATAACAAGTATGTGGTTTCATTTATTACATATATGTGGGACCCCATTCTGTATATATATATGTGTGCAAGCATCTATGTAGGTCTAAAAAGACCAGTATCACTCGATCTTACAATCTGTAAGATCTATTGTGATTGCTATGGCTATATTACACTTCTATGCCGTATATCTTCATTGAATTGAAGAATTTCCTAAGCTGTGAGCAATTTCATTTCTTCTGAGATAAGTACATCATAGTTTCCCAGATGAGTGTTACGTTTGCGCATTAAGGGTCCGCAACCACTTAGGATTTTTGTATTAGGATGAGGCGTTTTTTGTGATGAGAATCAGCACATCCTTGAGTTTCTTAGTCCCAGGATGGACATGTGCTTGTTTTAGACAACAGTGACCAGTCAGTGCTCTTGCCAGAATACGCAGTTTATTCTTACTTAATCCCAGGGCTGAATTTACGACCATAATCCCGGATTAAGGTTTTAGAATATTTTGATTTTAATATCAAACCAGATCTTGAGTGGTTTATTGTGATAAAGTTTTTCTAAGGGTCAATCGGGGCAGCCTTTCTGAGATTCCACAAAATGGCTCGGGTCCTAATTATGTACTCTTTGAACCCTCACGTGCGAGCTTGTTGGCAAGTTCATTGTCTACAATACCCGCATGCATCTCAAAACGACCCTGTTGTCACACCTCAGGGTATTTAGATGGTTAATGCAATCTCCAACTAGCTTTAATAACTAACTAACAACAAGCAGTGCTGCTTGACTTTTTTTTATAGGATAAAGGTGACAAACGAGCACACAGTCCACCTGATGGTAAGTGGTTCTCTACACTCACCATACGAAACACAGCAACGTTAAGCTGCTATTTTACACTGGTATTCTGTGAGAGCGTAGTCCTTCCCCGGTCGAGCCGACCCATTCGTGCAACAACCATAATATAGCTGCAGCATGACTCTACCACGTAAAAAAAGTTTGTATAAATAATATGGTTGACGTAGTGTTTTTGGAGGTTGATTTCCGTACAACGAAGTATGACGAAAATTTCAGCCTGGAAGATAAAGCTGTAAGCTCGAATTTGGGGCGTTCCCCATAAACTCTTGTGAACAACCTCTTGTTGTTGCAACCTCAATCGAAGTTTAAAACACACCTATTTTTGCCTTTCTGTTTGAGACCATCGACTCCACCCACCTGGTGTTCGTGAGGTCAACATATTAGATGTCAAGCCCCAACCAGTAGTGATGTGAGGCTACTGTTGAAAGCACCCTCAATATCTAGAAAGGCACAAAGAGCTATTTCTTTAACCTCCAGCACTTTTTCCACCCTGTCAATAACACTAATCAGGGCTTTCCGTAGATTTGCCTCTGTAGTAAGCATGCTGGTCGTAACGTATGGGCCTCATAGCTAGAGCTACATCCCTAATATATCTATCTATAATCTTTTGAGAAGAAAGGAAGATAGGCTTATAAATCTGAACGATAAGGTAAGGCGTAGTCCTTTCTACCAGCCTTAGGTATAAATAGAACTTTGACACTTGTCCATTGTTCTGGAATATATCCCCAAGATTTTTCCACAGATCTACCAAATTTTTGTCATCATCTACGGAACTTCGGAATTTGAGGTCGCAATTTACGGTATTTTTATAAACTTAACAAGAATTTTTTTATCCTGAGTGTGAACTTGCCGACAATGTCATTCTCTCTCTCTCTTAAAATAAAACCATTTTTGCTCACAAATTTCAAATTTTTATGAGGTTAATCGATTTCAAATTATTAGCTATATAACTATGCACAAATATTGAAATGTCCATCAAATCATCAATCATGGCGCACCACTATTTAACTGCTTCATCTATGGTATCAGTATCTATAGATATTCGGGTAGAATCTACTAGTTAGTCTGTGCTAAAGATCACCTGTTTACACCGTTACGCGCGTTCTATAGCTCGCTTATAAATACCTACTGTAAGACAGTCTGAGTCAAGGAGGTTGTAAAATATAGGGAGTGCGCACTAAATACTAGAAAAACATTTATAAATTAGTGATCTTGAAATGAATGAGACGCACCGAGTTAAGCGTTTCATTTCTTTCTAATAGAGTGTCCATGATACAATATTTTGAGAATATTAATAGTATATACAGCATTGCGGAAAACGAAATGTGTATTTTTTGGCTCATTGTGACCCTTAAGTAAGATTTTATTAACTTGAGTTTTGAAAAGCTTCCTTCACATGAAAATTAATAGTTAAAAAAATCTTAGACACAGCGCCAGATTCGAAACAGATTCAGATTAGCCCAATTTTACGAGAAAAGCTCCAATGAATTACATTGAACCGCTTCTTGGGAAGAAATCTTTCAAGTCATAAATTCACCAAAATTATATATCCTGCAGAAAAATCATCGTAGATTTTTGTCAGAGTTTGAACTATTACACAAAGATCTTCATCTGGTGACGTTAGCAGAGTGTAAGGCTGAACAACACTAAATGTTACGAGAATATCATCCATTGCTCTGTAACGATGGTCTAGTTCCTCGTAAAAATCTGTCAAGACATTCTGACATAGCTCTCTGCAGCTCCTCTGGCAATCTTAGTACAGCATGTCGGGTCATTTCTCTTAGTAAACGTTTTCGAATATATCTCCTCATTCCTCTTCTTCCTTCAATCGAAATGTCCACATTTTCACATTTTTTGTTAAGTAGGAAATAGCTTTTTCCACTAGTTGAATACGATGGTTTTGAAGAAAAAATTTTGGGCTTTGATTTTTATCACATGAATAATCTAGATTATTATTTTATTATTTAGTATTTATTTTTGTGTCTGACTAACTACTTTTAGGATTTTACACCAAAAGGAGAGATAGCATAAAAACTGAAGTCATACAAAGCTGGTAAGAGTGTAGATGCTGCTTCTCTTGTATCGAAGTTTTCTTTGTTGGTGCTGGAATCATATATATCTTCGAGTGTTTATACTAGATTTTTTAATTATTCTGCAGTGGTTTAACAGTGTCATGATGAGCAATCCGTCTTGTCTCTGAGAGTCTTTTGACGGGTACACCTACACTTTTCATTAAAGTTTCCCATTGACGGTGTGGATGATGAAAAGATTATGTAAATTATTTCTACTGTTCCGAAAAAAAGTTAAACTTGAATTAAAACTCCCTAAGTGAGTGCACTCCACATAGATTTAGCGAATGATTAGCACAAGGCGTTTTCTACGTAACAGAGTCTTGCTGCACCTATATGAGTAGTATAGTTGTAGCACAAATAGTTCGGCTCGACCGGGGAAGGACCACGTACTCACAGAATACCAGCGTAAAATAGCAGCTGAACACTGATGTATTTCGTATGATGAGTGTAGAGAACCGGAGGCCCTTTTTGCTGGAAAAGAGGCATTCCATCTTAGTCCTCACGAGTAACAACGCATCTACATTTTGATTCGCAAACGAGGATAGATGTAGATGTATATGGGTCACAGCAACCGCTTACCATCCGGTGGACTGTGTGCTCTTTTGTCACCCCATCCTATAAAAAAAAAAACAATATATTCATTCATTTGACAACGTCAAATTTTAAAATTGTGTTGTCATCTATAGCGTAAAATGCATCCCCTAGTTTTTAGGGAAAGAAAATTCGTGTTTTAGTGGTTTTTTTTTTCGTGTTACTTAATAATATGCTTAATTGAAATACAATATGGAATATACCAACTATGATTAGCGATAAAAATGTAAGATTATCGTTCTAGCATACGTCTAAAATATTACTTTATGTCAATAACTGTCTAAACATTGGTAATGTTTTTATTTAGTGTAAACATTTATCAGTGTTAGAAGGAGATAAAATACAAAACTCGGTGCCCCTCTTTCTAAGAAAAATGAGGAACGATTACAATGTTCCAAGCGCTCACTCCCTATATTATATTAAGTATAGCCTCCTTGGTCTGAGTAGTATGTGCTGTCGACAGAGTATATTATATATTTATATTACTGATAATCCATACTATATCTATGGACAATCCACTCCAATTAACTCGAGTTGAACGCAAATCGAGTTAACTCGAATTAGTAAGTCGACTTGACCCATCACTAATATGAATCGGTGATTGGTGGTTGGTCAATGGTCTTTGGTGATGGTGAACAACTTTGGAAATTGAATTGGAATAGAAATAAAGTGTTGCGTTGAGCAATAGATGATAAATTAACCTTCTGTCATTGTGGAATACTAATAATTAACATAGTAAGTATAAAATACACGTTTTATATCCAAATCTGAATACAGAGGTTTTATGTAAATTCTATGGATATGTCAATCAAATTGTACGACACCCTAAAATCATTATCTTTTGTCTTACAGTTTGCGTACTACTAAAAATACACTAAAGACGCTTAATGTGTTTAAATATAGTCTTAAAAGTGCAATGTTTTAAAGATTTGTTACTTAAGTCTTCAACTGAAAATCACATTCTGAGGAAAATAACTTATTACTTTCATTATTTTCACGATTGTGTAGCCCAATAGTTAGCATAGGTATTTCAATAACATCATATATTCATTATATTTTACATTCAATTTAAAATCATGATATAATACTTAAGGTTTTCTAGTGCCTACCGTAGTGAATCTGAATTTAAGTTTACTAGAGTTCACTGACTGTAGTTGAATATGCTGAGATGGAAGATTGGGATTTTTGAGTAGAAGACATTTTGACTAAAACTACAACAAACTTACACTGTACAGGGGACTATCTGTATCACCTATGGTAAATAAATATTTGTTAAAGGTGCCGCGTCCTGTGATAGCGCTTGTTACTATCCTGATGTGTGGCTCATTAGAACCTTGGTTAAATGACTGTTTGTTTCAGGCAGGGCCTGCCTAGCTTGTCTACAGTCTACTAGATTTTTACAAAGTTGAGCATGTTGATTAGTGAGTTTCTACATACCAGTGAATGAATGTTATCAAAGGGGATTGGTATGAATGGTTCGGGTCCTATAGTGGCCAGAGCAGATCCTCTTCTGGCCAGTTCGTTTGTTGCATCATTGCCTCTGGATCCACTGTGTCCCTTTATTCATTGCAGAGTCACATTGTTGTGTTTACATACCTCATATAATCATTGGTGGCATTCATATATTAGTTCCGAGTTCACCACATTGCAACTCAGGGCTTGTAGTACCACCCTAATGTAGATCAGTATTCTGATGGAGAAGTCATTAACCTTCCTAGTATCTATTGCTATGGCCGCTTGAATGATACCCATATATTCCACCTGAAAGACTGTTGTATGTACCCAGCAGTGTGCTTTTGTGGATGTTGAGGTCTTCATTTGTTTTAGAATCAGAATCAGACTCTAAGCTCTTTTTAGCTTAATCCCTCCGGCTGGCTGGTTTCATTTATTCCTTAATTATATAAACCAGTGTTTAGTTTGACAGTTAGGAATTTGGTGTGTACAGTTTTTAATTAGCCAATTTTTCTTAAATGCACTTAAATACTTACATGGACAACTCAAGGATTACATGGACAAAATATTGTAATGTTGAGTGCTATTGTAGTGATAATCAGACCACTAATAATTCATTGATTTCTTTGGTACTAATTAAGATGTCTGGAGGCCATAAACATCGTTACAAGAATGCAGGACTGAGTGCAGATGAGTTACGCCGTCGCCGTGAAGAAGAAGGGGTACAATTACGCAAGCAAAAGAGAGAGCAACAGCTTTTCAAACGAAGAAATGTAAATTTACCACAGCCAAATGCACCTGATATTGCATTACAGGTATAGACTTTAATTTATTAATTTCATCCTCACTGATAGACTGTTTTTTAAAATTCAAAGACATTTTTTGATAGTGTGTCAAAAAATGTTATTGAGTTTTTAAGATGAACATTTTATGTTTATGATCATTAGATGAAAAAGAGTATTTGAATTTAATTTTCATAAATTTATTGTTATTTATATATATTACGTTGAAAATAACTTCATCATCATCACCATCACCATTACAACTGTTCACAAGTCCACTGCTGAACATCATCCATTCCTCCCCCAAGGAATGCCACCAAGCATGGTCCTGAGCCATCCGCATCCATCGAATTCCTGCATCTCTTACCAGAAATAACTTAAGGTTAGTTATTTTTCAACACATTTGAGTAAAATCTCTTACAAATCAAATTCACAGATTGGTTAGTGTAGAAGAATCGTATGTATTATTTGATGATAACTTGCTATTGTCATACACCTAATAATCTAAATTAAAATATAACATATCACACCTGATATTTAACAGTGCATTAACTCAAAAAAATTTGTTTTGTGATATAGTGTTCCAAAGAGTTAAAAATTTATAACATTTAAATCATACATTTTCATGAACAAATAAATTTAGCAATATAAAAGTACATTAATGGTGTTTATGCTTTGACAATATTGTATCAATAATGCTCAAAATGTTTAAATTAAATTCATTTTTCTATTACCATTTGGAGGTACAACTATAATAAACATCTAATAAAATTGATTTTGACACCTTACAACAGTAACTGAATGCTAGTAGGTAGTAAAAGTAAGTAAACCTATATCAAACAAACAAATTATGTTTTTTTTTTAAACTTAAAAAATGTTTAACTTATTAAGTAAAGAACACTGACACTTAAAAATCAGCATCCTCATTGTCCTTCTGTTGCACTTCATTATTGCTTTTTTTTATAGATATAGAGTAACAAACGAGCGCACAGCCCACCTGATGATAAGTTGTTGCTGAGGCCCATAGACATCTACATCTCTCCTTGCTTGCGAATCAAAATGCAGATGCATTTTCACCCATGAGAACTAAGATGGAATGCCTCTTTTCCAGTAAAAAGGGTCTCCGGTTTTCTACACTCACCATACGAAACAGCAGCATTATGCTGCTATTTTACGCTGGTATTCTGTGATAGCGTGGTCCTTCCCCGGTGAGCCGACTCATTCGTGCTACAACTATACTATAAATATAGCTGCAGCTCGGTTCTACCACTTGTGATATGCTGAGATGATACTAGAAAATATATTTAAAATACTGAATGTTTTGAAAGCCATATAGTGTCATTTTGAGATAAATGCAAATTCAAATTTGTCATTCAGCAATTCTATACAATGAAATTATCTATCTCAAAAAAATTATGGAAACGGTATGGTAACCTATCAACTACATTTTACACATACCTAAAATGAAGAATAATTTCAAATTGATTAACAAAATAGTTTGAGATAATATTATTGTCTAAAAGAAATAACAGTGAACAGAGTACTAAGTAAAAGATAATACTATATTAATTATATATATTTTATTTATTTGTCCCTATGAAACAATTTACTATGGCATAACTTGAAATGAAACACTGTTGTCTTTAGCTAACAATCTATTAGCAAAAACTAACTTATATTAAAATGCGATAATAATCGAAAAGCAGCCAGAAATTTGGTTTTACTTTTAATTCTACTAATAATATTAGAAATCTGAAAGTTTTTTGTTGGATGCTTGTATGTTTGTGGCTCACTCACTTAAAAACAACTGAATGGATGAATCCATTGTCTTATGTTTGAGGTATAGTAATTATTGAAATGGTTATTTTGTAAAATATGTCAAATTCACATTATTTTTTTAAACATGCCATTTAATTTATTTTTATGATAATCTTGAGTGGATTCAATATTCAAGACAAATTTTAGTATGAATATCTACTTGATTCAATTGTCAATGTATATGACATCTGAGCTGTAAATTTTACTGGACTAAAATATAAAACATTTGGTGTGTGGTGTGTTATACTCAAAAACTCGAATATTTTTATTTACAAAACATTATTTTAATTTCTATGTTATTAAGACTGCATTAATTTCTTCCTCATATATTATTAAAAAATTACTGTTTCAGGATGATATTAGCATTTCTTCATCTGATGACATCACACCACAAATGGTGGCTGCATTATACAGTGACAATCCTCAGGACCAAGTTATGGCCACTCAGAAATTTCGAAAGCTTTTGAGTCGAGAACCAAATCCACCTATTGATGAAGTAATACGGACTGGAATTGTACCAAAATTTGTTGAATTTTTATCTAATAGCTCGAATCCAACATTGCAGGTAAATTTAATTAACATATTACAAAATTCTATCAAAAGTATTATTTTAAAATGTTATGTTGTTTATGCTTCCAAAATCCAACATGCAAGTTTATTTGAAATTAAAAAAATTGACAGTGCAATGTAATTGTTAATGAGCACAGACCAAAAAACATAGTAGGGTGGATATGTTCCCCCCTGTTACTACAAGTGTATACTTGATGTAATTATGCCAGATATAAAATACCCTTCTCTTCGCCTTTTGTCGGGACTACTGAAACGCTATCGCACAATGCTACAACTCCAATGGAGGACAGCCCTTATAGGCCCCTTTTCCATCAGGGGAGGCTGGATTTCTCCATTCTTTCTTCATGAAGGGGTGCATAGTTTAACGAAATTAAACAAGAGGACCCCGCGCGAGATTCTAGAAGCTTGCGTCGATTATGTTAGTAGGCTTCTAAAAAGTGTTTTGCAACTCATGCCAATAGTCACGTAGAGTCATGAATTAAGGTGACATTCACGCTATGAAATGTCTTTTTTTTGAACTTTAATACGAAAGCACTTAATTTACCCAAATCTTGATATTCCCCTGCAATTGCTTACATTATTTAAACTTCTTCACGGATAAAATATATAATATTCCTAAAAATAAATATGCATAAGGTTCCCTCAGTTTGTGAAGTTAAGTGAGCAAGTGGCAAAATTGTGGCTTGCGTCCGGCGTGTGATTCGCTTCTATTTTAATAAAAACTTTGTATGTAAGTGTTGAATAAATTTACTTTAATGGATTTTAACGTGTTTAATCCTATTTATTTTTAATTCTTGCGGGTGCAAACCCATGAGGTGATTGACGTCAGTGTCCCGTGATCATGGGTGCAAACGTTGGGAATTAAAAATAAGTAGAATTAAACATGTTAAAATCTGTAAAAGTAGTTTTATTGAAATGTAAGAATTGATGAAATTAATGTAAGTGGTCAGTTCGAGGCGGCGTGGGCGCTGACGAACATCGCGTCGGGCACGTCGGAGCAGACGCGCGTGGTGGTGGAGTGCGGCGCCGTGGGCGCGCTCGTGGCGCTGGTGGGCGGCGCCGGCGACGACGTGCGCGAGCAGGCCGTGTGGGCGCTCGGCAACGTGGCCGGCGACTCGCCGCGCTGCCGCGACGCCGTGCTGGCCGCCGGCGTGCTGCCGCCGCTCATACAGTGAGTGCGAGTGCGTGTGCGAGTGCGCACACATGTTGTTGCTGTCTCGTTCACGTGCGCGAGCAGGCCGTGTGGGCGCTCGGCAACGTGGCCGGCGACTCGCCGCGCTGCCGCGACGCCGTGCTGGCCGCCGGCGTGCTGCCGCCGCTCATACAGTGAGTGCGAGTGCGTGTGCGAGTGCGCACACATGTTGTTGCTGTCTCGTTCACGTGCGCGAGCAGGCCGTGTGGGCGCTCGGCAACGTGGCCGGCGACTCGCCGCGCTGCCGCGACGCCGTGCTGGCCGCCGGCGTGCTGCCGCCGCTCATACAGTGAGTGCGAGTGCGTGTGCGAGTGCGCACACATGTTGTTGCTGTCTCGTTCACGTGCGCGAGCAGGCCGTGTGGGCGCTCGGCAACGTGGCCGGCGACTCGCCGCGCTGCCGCGACGCCGTGCTGGCCGCCGGCGTGCTGCCGCCGTTCATACAGTGAGTGCGAGTGCGTGTGCGAGTGCGCACACATGTTGTTGCTGTCTCGTTCACGTGCGCGAGCAGGCCGTGTGGGCGCTCGGCAACGTGGCCGGTAATGCTGTAGCCATACTCACCTACATCTAACCCCGATTAAGAATTAAAATGCAGTTATGTTGTCATACCTGAGGACTAGATGGAATGCCCTGTTATCAATAAAAAAATATCCAGTTCCTTACAGTCATCATACAAAATAACAGCATCATATTCCCATTTCACGTTAGTTTCCTGTGAGAGCATAGCTATTTCACGGTCTGGCCGAACCATTCATGCTTGCAAATTTCAGTAAAACATTTTTTTAAATAACAGTAACATTTTTAAATTAATGCCGTTGCGGTTCCCATTTCATATTGGTTAGGGGTTTCTTTACACATTTAATATATCTTTCCATCTTTGATTGTTGTAGTCGATATTTATCAAGATTTCTCCAGCTGTTTTTATACAATTGTTCCCATCTTTTCCTTTGCCGTTCTATATTTTGTTTGGTATGTATACATGTGGTTTGTCCGTTTTATTCTTCTATTGCTTTTATTTTCAATACTGTTTGCATCAAAAGACACTAGTTTTCCTAGGAAGTTTACATATTCTGTCAGTTTTTCTTTATTCGGCTTTCTTTATTAAGTACTAGCAGCTAAACCCGTCGTTGCCCGGATCAAAATACATCGCAATAATACTTAATTATTATATATATATATAGCTTATAAAATCAGTTTTTTTATCTTATATATGTACACAAATCTTTGTACCATTAAATGTACATTGTATATGGTGTATACGAAATCGACTGATTAATTAACTTATTAAAATAATTATGAATAAAATTCGAAAGTAGTTTGTTTAAATAAAAAAAAATGTTTAATTGAATATATACATATTTACAGTTTTATATATGATTATAATTTTTGTTTACAACACTTGCTTATATATGTAGTATACATTTGTTGTTTTATTTTTTGGACTGTAAATGAAAGCATGTTTCTCTCAAATTAACACCACAATATTGGAATGTTTGTCCATGTGCTTTATTGATGGTCACACTATAAGCCAACTTGACTGGGAATTGTAATGACTTAAAATTGAAAGGTAATTCTGTTGATATTAAAGGTATTCGCGGTACAAATACCGTTTGTCCTTTTTCTTTACCCGTTATTATACTAGCCTCGGTGATGTTATTCTGTAGATGTTTGATGCAGAGTCTTGTACCATTAGACTGCGTTTCCACCAGAGAGTAGCTAGGCGGTGCGAGGGGCGGGCGTGCGGGGCGCGCGGGGCGTGCGGGGCGAGGTGCGGTGGAAGCGGAACGCGCGTGCGCCACTGTCCGCTGCTTCTTGCGTCCTTCCTTCGCAACACATCCTTTTGTATATACAAACCTCGCTCCGCTGAGCAGTTTCCACCGGAGCTGCGCTGAGCGCGTCTAGGTAAATGAAGTGATTCTATGGGTTCTTAATAAACACATCCCTCGCTACGCATCCTTATACACCTCTGGTGGAAACGCAGCCTAATACAGTTCCGGCGAGCTCATATTTCGTAGTAAAATAATTGGCGATCCAATTTTCAATTTAAGACACATTACACTGTCTTAAATTGAAAATTGGATCGCCAATCATTTTACTACGAATTCTTTGGCGATCCAATTTTCAATTTAAGACAGTGTAATGTGTCTTAAATTGAAAATTGGATCGCCAATCATTTTACTACGAAATCTGATATAGTTGTTTTCTGTAAAAATAAACATTTTTCATTTTATAATTTTTCATTGTGAATTAGTATAATTATCACAATATTCCACAATATTCGGGTATACCTCATTTATAAAATGTTCAGGTGTCTCAACAACATTGCACAATTCATTTGTCAGTACGATGTTCATTTTCTTGTTCCCTTCGATCAGCTGATTGATGACGTCGAATAGATCTCTTTCTAGTGCGCACGTTTTCCTTAGACATTGTTCTTTGTTCTCTATTTTGAGTTCTTCTAGTTTATTGCACTCTCTCTCGATTCCTCGAAAGCCGTTGTACTCGTTGTTCTTCTTTTTTCATTTTTACGCGCTGCTTTTTTTCTTCTGAGCATTTACATGAGATTGTGTGAATAATCTTCTGTTTACAGTTTGGTGCTATTTGGCTCCGTTATAGTGATGAAAACAGCTTGTATAGTTTTTGAAGATAAAAGGGACCTGTAATAGTCTGTAAAATATAACTTTTTGATTTCATTGATTTTGCCATTGCTTTGGTAAAACATATAGCATTGATATGCTTATCATTTCTTGTGTTCATTGTCATTTTGGGTCATTGTAGAAGCGTGCTCGTCGCGACCCCTGCCAGCCCTTTTCAGGGCTGCAATTCTACACAGCTGCGCACCCATGCCAACGAGGGTTAGGGCGTCCCCCCAAGGCGACGCACACCAGCTTGTCCCCGTTGGTGTGGAATGCAGCGCGCAAAGCGGCGATGGGGACCGCCACCCGTCACGCACAACCCGACACGGCGGAAGGTGGAGGACAGAGTGCAGAGTTGGCACGTGGAATGTTAGAGGAGGCATGAGAGATAAGATGAATGAGTTGATCGAAATAATGAAAGAAAGAGAATTAGATGTCGTGTGTATGTCGGAGACCAAACGGAAAGGCAGTGATACTGAAGAACTCCCTGGCGGGGTGTTAGCTCTATGGTCCGGAGTCCCGGAGAGCGAGAGCGCCTGCCAGGGAGTGGGGGTGCTGCTATTGTCTCGGTTGGTCGATGTTATGAGTTATGACTGAATATAAGGTTGTGAACTCAAGACTTCTCTGGGTTCGCTTTAAATTGGGACTGACGAAGTTATTCCTTTTGGCTGTTTATGCGCCGGTAGCTTCGTCGTCCAGGGCTGAGCTGGAGGAGTTTTGGGAGAATGTAAGAGAAGTTCTAGATTTGGTTAGGGGAAACGAAAGAATTGTTGTATGTCATGATTTGAATGGATGGGTTGGTACCGCTCGACCAGGGTACGAGTCGGTGCTTGGAAAGTTTGGCGATAAAAGGGTTAATGATGCTGGCAAGCTTATACTAGCTGTATGCAAGGAAAAGGGTCTTCTTGTGACAAACACTATGTTTAATCACAAGAAAATCCATATGTATACTAGAGAAAGAAAGAATGAGAGAAGTATGATCGATTTGTTCCTGGTGGATGACCGACTGCGAAAACAAGTGATGGATACGCGAGTGTTCAGGTGTGCTGATCTGGGAACGGATCACTATCTAGTGATTACTAGATTTAGGGGTCTGTTCGCGGGTTGGCGCTACCGGACGGCAGTAACAGAACCACAGTCGGTCTGTCGCATCCGAAGCTGGAAACTTCAGGAAGCGGATACTAGGGACAAATATCATGCGAGGGTAGCCGAAAAGCTTGACACCATCGATGGCAGAAAAGTATGTGTGGAAAGAATATGGCAGAACCTTAGGGATGGAATGGTAAGTGCAGCGGAAGAAGTGTGTGGAACGATAAAAAGAGGTAGTAGTAAAAGAAGAGATGCATGGTGGAATGATGAAGTGAAAGAAGCTGTAAAGAAGAAGAAGAAAGCATGGTTGGACTACTTGGCCTCTAGTAATGATAAGGATATGAGAGAGAAGATGAAAGAAAGATATAAGCTGCAGAAAGTTCACACGAAATCATTGATTGAGGAAGTGCGTGAAAGGTGTAGAATGGAAGCGGATGAAAGGTTGTCTTACAACTTTAAGGAGAACTCCAAACTCTTCTGGAAAGAGGTTGGAAGGACCCGAAGTGCTGCGACGGCCTTAAGAATGAACAAAGTGCTTTCGAGAACCAATGACGTCCTCTCAGAAAAATCGGACGTCATGCAGCGATGGAGCGAATTTTATAGAGAAATGTATGCGTGTGATGATCTTAGTGAGGGATCCGAGAGTGACGCCGTTACTGGTACGCCAGACCCGGACCTAGATAACACTGAAACAGAAACAGAAACAGAAATGAAATGATCTAGTATGGTGGGCCTCGCGTCTGGGACAGCTTTCATCTGCTGTGCAATTGGTGCTGGCGGACGGGGGATGTCTCGGATGATTGGCGATCTGCAGTCATTGTGCCTTTATATAAAGGTAAAGGTTCACATTTTGACTGCGGGTGCTATCGGGCGATCAGCTTGACCAGTTTAGCAAGTAAAGTTTACTTGAAAGTTTTGACACGTAGGATGCAAGAGAAATCGGAAAGATTTCTATGGGAGGCACAATGCGGATTTAGACCTGGAAGAGGATGCACGGATCAAATGTTTTCTCTCCGCATGATCACGGAAAAGCTTCTGGCTGCTAACCAGAAGATTTTCTGTGCTTTTGTGGATCTTGAGAAAGCATTTGATAAGGTTGTAAGGAAGAAAATGTGGGAACTGTTGCCGGGGTATGGTGTGGATGGTCGATTGCTAAGGGCTGTGCAGTCACTTTACTGTGACTGTAAAGCCTGTGTGCGGGTAGGGCATGACCTGTCACCCATGTTTAGCGTCCAAACGGGCGTAAAACAGGGTTGTGTCATGTTGTCCTGGCTGTTCATACTGTATCTCGACAGCTGTTTACAGAAGCTGAAAGACAGCTGTTTGGGTGTGAAATTGGGTGACATTAAAGTAAATTGTCTGCTGTATGCTGATGATGCAGTGCTTATTGCACCATCGGAGGCAGAACTGCATGCATTAGTCACGTGTATGAAAGAGGATTGTGAAATTAAAGGTCTCCGTTTGAATGCTAATAAAACTAAGGTATTTGAAAGGGACGAAGAGAGAACGAAGTGTGAAATATGGGTAAATCAGGAATGTCTAGAACAGGTAAATGAAATTGTATACTTGGGGAGTGCTTTTAGCCGGGATGGAAGATGTGATTTAGATGTGGACAGGCGTGTCGCTGCCGGGAACAAAGTCAATGGTGCCCTGACTACGTTAATCAAAAGGCAAGGCGTGGTGAAGAGTGCACGCCTTGCAATACATAACGCAGTGTTTGTACCGACTTTGTTATATGGCAGCGAAACCTGGGTATGCCAGAAGAAGCATAAAAGCAAGTTGAATGCAGGGGAGATGCGATCTCTTCGTAAAATGTGCGGCGTTACCATGGCCGACCGAAAGCGAAACGAAGAGATTCGCAATATGGCAGGTTTGAAAGACGACCTTATCACAAAAATTGATAAGGGCGTGCTTCGATGGTTTGGGCACGTTGAGCGAATGAGTGAAGACCGAATGGTGAAGAAAATATATAGCGCGAAAGTTAATATTAAAAGGTGTCGAGACTAACTTTCGAAGACCATGTGAGCAAATTGCTCGAAGAGGGGAAGGTCAAGAGTACTCGGATACCTAGACGTGTATGTATGAAGAAGATATTGAATCTGAAAGAAGCGAAAGAGGTATGTAAGGATCGTGACACTTGGCGATCTGTTCTCTCTGGCTACCCCGTCAGGGATTGTGCGTGAAGATAAACAAAAAAACATTTCTTGTGTTGCTGTGTGCATCTTCGTGTGCTATAGCCTCCTCTGATATCCTATGATCCATTACAGACTATCAAAAGTCCACTGCTGAACATAAGCCACATAACATAACATAAATGTTGTTGTGTATTATGAAACCGTTCTGTTAAATAGTACGTGTCTATTAGGTAATTGATGAAAACCGATGACAGTCCATCTCGGCATTACATTAGTTTATTTTTAAGATACTAAAAAAAAGTACATAACAGTCACATGCATTACTGAACCATGATAGATTTTTATGAACTTCTTAATATTAAAAATCATAAAAGATGTTTTATTTTGTTGTTTTCAGAATCTTAAATAAATATACAAGGTTGTCCATGACAAGGAATGCAGTGTGGACACTATCAAATCTTTGTAGAGGCAAAAATCCTCCTACAAACTTTGAAGCTGTGGCACCCGGTGAGTATCATATCTTGACATACAATTCAAATGACTGAAAAAAAAGTCCAGGAAAAATTTGTCTGCTCAGAAAATGGTTCCAGGTCAGGAATAATGTTTCAGCTCTCTCAAGACAAGTATCCATGTATATACCTGCCGCCAAGCAGCAGCCCCATGGTTTGGCTGGAATGCCTCCCTTGTAGCCCTCATAAGTGACGACATATCTGTAAGCCTTTGTTTGAAGTTGGTTGTCTTGGTTTGGTGTTCATGTGCTGCAGTAGCTACTTACCGCCAGACGGTCTATTAGTTTGTTGCTCCACACTTTATGTACATGTTATAACAGCTCAATAATTATGAACTGAAGATACTAAACCAAAAATGACTCATTTAATAAGTTTCAATTCACATATCCTTGTGTCAGATTTTATCACATGAGGAACTTCGAGCGCCATTTTCTGTTTAATTTATAGGTATTCCAGTATTAGCCAGACTGCTTCATCATACTGACGCAGATGTACTAAGTGATGCTTGTTGGGCTCTCTCTTATTTATCCGATGGACCAAATGAAAAAATTCAAGCTGTTATTGATGCCGGAGTTTGTAGAAGGCTTGTTGAATTACTAATGTAAGTATTGTTTTAGATGTTATTTATTGCAAAATTTGGTTTATTATGGTTATTTAGAAAAATTTAAAATAGATCAGGGACCATGTTTTTATTGTTTATAAGATCATTTATTTTTATAAAAACAAAACTATTACGTTAAATAAGTGCATGCAAAATGAAAATAGGACTGACCCCTCGTGACTCTGGCCTTCTTTTATGCGTAAAAGGAGTTCTTAGAGTAAGTGGGCCAGGGTCCGCCGTTTGCATCAATGTACTATAATTACAAACTTCACTTTCCTTGAAATATTTTATTGAAGTAATATGTACTACATACTAGAAGAGACGCAGATACTTTTTCGTTTGTGACACGCATTAGCCCATGGGCTCAAACTTACTTAGTCTCTGCTATAAACTGTATCACTACTGTGGTACAGTGTGTGACTTTTTCATAGTAGATATTTGCCATAGTTGCCACGTTTAGCAAGCGGGTTGGCAGCCACTGTTTTTTTATTTTTAGTCGTTATTAGGAAGACGCAGCTAGCCTTATCCTAATTTGTTTCTCTCTGTCGCCTTTTACAACACCCACGGGAAGATATGGGATAGTGGATATTCTTACACTGCCACTACATGGTAATTTCATTGAAATATTTTAAGTTTATACAAGTATGTGAGGGAATCAAGCTCTAGCTTGTTTGATTTTATGAAGTGACTGTTAGTAAAAATGCTAATTATTGGTTTGAAAAAACATCGTGCAGATATACATTTCTTTGTTCTCTATTATAATCAATTTTTTTATATATATATTATTATTTATTATAAATCATCATCATTACTTAGGTCCGTCGACTTCTTGCATCTCTCATCAGGTCGTCACTCCATTTAGTGGCGGGCCGTCCTACACTCCACTTGCCGCTATTATGCTGTCACTCTAGAACCTTTCTGACCCTTTGTTTATTGGTTCATCGAGGTATTTGGCCGGTATTTTCTACTTCAGCTCTGGTTCTGTGGTGGATATTATTTTTACGGATTTTATCACGCAGAGAAACTCCCAGTATAGCCTTTTCCGTAGCTCGCTGAGCGACCTTAAACTTTCCATATATGGACAGACAGCAGTGATGGACCCCGTCTCAGTTCCATATGTTGTCACTAGCAACATGTTCTAGTTGTATACTTTTGTTTTAAGGTTGACGAAGAGAAAAATATTATACATCTATGATACAATATCTTCAAATTAAAATACGTAATTGTCATTTTGGACTACGACAAAACAGAAATTGTCACACACTCATGTCTGTGATAATTATATAATATATTTATTATATGTACCCTTATTCTATAAAAAATCCGCTACATACACATTGGAGATCATCAGTTTATATTTAAAAGCAGGGGAAAAATTAATCTTCTTCAAAAATACAACAATTTTCAATCTTTACATTTTAACATCCGTAATTATTTACGTTTCTAGTAAATTATTAAATCTTACTCGATTTTATTTCTGATTGTAATTAACAATTAAGTGTCAGTCAACGTTAACGGAGGAAGCTTTGCTCGAAGTTAGAAAAAAAATCTTAGGAATTACACCCATCTTTAAACATTGTCTTAGTACGAAATGTTATCCAAATCGTTAGAGCCGTTTCCGACAAACTAACTTTATAATGAAAAAAAATGAAACAAAAGTGAAAATATTCTGAATGCATTAATTAATCTCTGAATGCATTAGAGATACAGCGTAAATCTACGACGCCGGTGTGCGCAAGTTCAAATCTCGTAATGCATTCAGAATATTTTCACTTTTGTTTTTTTTTTACATATAGCTACATTATTACATATATATTATTACATATGTATTATTACATATAGCTAGAGAGCTATATTTAGCAAAATTACCAATAATATATTGCGGGCAAGTCAAGTTTGTTGCTTTGCAGCCATGTGAAAACACGAAGAAAACGAATTGTCCCAGAAATGAGATATAGTTAGTCTAGGTATCGATTTTTCGCCCGCGTAAACTCCCATATTTTAAATTTCATCGAAATCATCAAAGCTCTTTTCTCGAACACGACGCAAACAGAATATAAATATTGCTCGTAATATAGTTTAAGATAGTTGTAAATCCTTTTTTTATAGGATAGGGTGACAAACGAGCTCACAGTCCATCTGATGGTAAGTGGCTTCTGTGACCCATAGACATCTACATTTATCGTTACTAAAGAATCAAAATGCGTCGTCACCCGTGAGGTCTAAGATGGAATGCCTCTTTTCCAGTAAAATGGGTCTCCGGTTCTCTACACTCACCATACGAAACACAGCAGTGTGAAGCTGCCATTTTACGCTGGTATTCTCTGAGAGCGTGGTTCTTCCCCGGTCGAGCCGACCCATTCGTGCTACAACTATACTACTAATATGATTGCAGCATGGCTCTACCACGTATGCTATCCTGATGTTATGATTTAAAACTAACGATTTTATATCTATAAATCAACACTGCCCGCATATCGACCGATTACGTAACGTAATATATACTATATTACATTATTTAACATTATATTTTTAGCGTCAAATCTAGAAAACTCTAAAACGTTTTTTTGTGTGATAAGATACCTTATGAATACAAATAACCCAACTCTATCAGTTTTCCGCACGCGCCGGCGTTGCTTGCTAAGAAAAGACCAAATTATCTACAATTATGCAACTTACGTAATTCGATCGTCGATTTTGATTTTATTGATGTGGCCACGCGCACACTTACCTGGTGTAATTTCAAAGCATAATTTATACTGAAAAACCTCTATTCAAAGTGCTATAGGTTAATAATACCTAGTCAGGTCATAAATTCTGTCACATGTTTAATATAAAATAATTGAAACAAGTTTATTCATTATGTAACCATTTATATACCAAAATGAACTTAACAAAACATAGATTCTTATTATGACACTAAAGTTTATTCAAAATGACCTCCGTGATTTTGAATACAGGCCTTCAATCTGCACGGCCAGTCGTCTATCGCAGCACGAACGAGGTCCATGTCAATATCGGCGGCTGCCTTAATCAAGGATGTCTTGAGTGACTGACTCCAAATTGGGATGAGACTTTGAGCACGCCTTTTCCTCCAAGTGTTACCATATCTTATAATCTAACGGATTCAAATCTGGACTGGAGGAGGGCCAGTCTTCGTGCCGGATGAAGTCGATTTCACGCGCCGCCAGCCAGTCTTGTGTGCTCTTCGCTCTATGAGCTGGCGCCGAATCTTGTTGGAATACCCAGTGCCTGTTATTGAACTTGGTATGAGAAACAGGTTCCACAAGGTTCGTCAGGACTGTATTTTGATACACAACTGCATTCGTTTTTACACCTTTCTCACAAAAATGTACCTCTGTTAAGCCCCAATAAGAAACTCCCAACCATACCATGAGCGAGGATGGAAAATGACCTCGTTGGACACGCGGAATACGGTTGCTCGCTTCTTCACTACTGTGTGCGTACACCTTATCATTTTGTTTGTTGTAGCTCTCTTCTACGGTAAAAATTTTTTCATCCGAAAAAAGAATTTCCCGATATTTTTTTCCCGCGTACCGCTTCAACAAAGCGCGGCATCTCTTCAGTCTCAGGTCCATTAGACGAGCATTCAAACGATGTCCTGTTTTTCTTCGATATGCCCGAAGCCCTAAGTCTTCATTTAACACCCTTTTCACCGTGGTTCTGCTTAACCCCATCTGAAGGGCCAACAGTTTCTACTTACGTTTGGGATTTCTTTGAATTCGCGCCTTCACAGCTTTTATCACTGCTGGAGTCCTAACAGACCGAGGGCGACCACTTCTTGACCTGTCATCTACACTAGAGTCTTCATTGTATCGTTTGATGGTACGATAAACGAATCTTTTGGTTATATTCAAATTTTTCAGTATGTCAATAATTTGAATTGGCGTGTAACCGCAACGATACAACGCAATAACTGCAACACGGTCTTCTTTAAGCGTCCACTCCATATTTAAAAATGAGTAGAATTCTAAAAAGTATACAATTTTATTTTCATGAACAATTCCAAATTCGAATTCAATAAACTTTTTTGTGGTCAGCATTCTAAAAGAAAAGTTTTTACTGTGTGACAATACTTATGACCTGACTAGGTATTTAGGATAAAATAATATAACAAATAAAAAGTCACTCGGGTTTCTTTAAAAGCTTTCTTTACCATGAAACCTCAAAAACATATTCAATAATTACTTGATTCTCCGTACTTTTAAATATATACCTAATGTCGTACTTAGTTATTATTTATATAGACAAACAAACTGGTACCCGGCGCATTGATGCTGCAGAAAAAAAATGTGAAATATCGTTTTAAATTTGGACGGGTTATATTGTTTAATTAGGAATGATAATACTTTGATTGAAATTGAATCACATGACTTTCAAATAAATATATCGGTACCATACGCGTACCACCTACTGTAATCTAATTGTACTATGCCTATAACCTCCGCGCAAATTCAAGCAATAAGTTGACAAAGTTTTAGCGCAATCTGATGAACGGTATGGCAGCCCATAAAATACGAACAAACAAAAATTTACTCTTATATATTATGAAGATAAAACTACTTAACGCTATGTTATTCACGTTACGTTTCATTAGATTTTACTAGTCCAATTATGTTAGGAGGGTGGCCATTGTTCTTTAAAATATAAAGCGTTACATCAACGAGGGTTAATACCTTTTACGCTCTCCAGATGTCGCTAGATCACACATCGCATCATCATTGGAAAGTTGCGTTTTAAATAAAAGTTTTTTGGTTTGTAGTGTATGTACACAAAACAATGCCTCAGTACTGTTTTCTTTAATATTTTTACACTTTTTTACTTTTTCTATAGTTTTCTTTTAAAACATTTTTGGCAGGTATTATTCACAGGCCAACAGGCAATTTGTTTCACAGGGAGATCGAAGTAATTGTGAAAGAATTTGACATAAACCTAGATTATATATTTTTTTATAGGATAGGATGACAAACGAGCACACAGTCCACATGATGGTAAGTGGTTGCTGCGGCCCATAGACATCTACATCTGTCCTCGTTTGTGAATCAAAATGCAAATGCGTTGTCACCCGTGAGGACTAAGATAAAATGCCTCTTTTTTAGTAAAAAAGGGTCTCCGGATCTCGACACTCACCATACGAAACACAGCAGCATTAAGCAGCTATTTTACGCTGGTATTCTGTGAGAGCGTGGTACTTCCCTGGTCGAGCCGACCCATTCGTGCTATAACTATACAATTAATATAGCTACAGCATGGGTCTACCACGTAAAGAATATTGAATATATCTTTTAATATTTTTATTTTAACATTATAATTATTATTAAATGGGCAGGCATAACAAATCAACAGTAGTGTCTGCAGCACTGAGAGCTGTGGGTAACATAGTGACAGGCAATGACGCTCAGACACAGGCTGTACTCAACTGCAATCCACTTCCTAGCCTACACGCGTTACTTCGCTCCAGCACCGAGGCAGTGAGGAAGGAGGCTTGCTGGACCTTATCTAATATTACTGCAGGAAATTCTCTACAGATTCAGGTATAGTACAATTTTTATTTGATATTTGACGGTTTTATGGTGAATATTTTATAAATAGCGATCCGCCCCGACTTCGTACGGTTGATTTGTGGATCACGAAAACAACGCCACCTATAGGCTCCGATTGTGAATCCAACTATTCTCTAATCAACTTAGTCACACAAAATTTCATCAAAATCGGTCCAGCCGTTTAGGAGGAGTTCAGTCACATATGCATGTATTATACATATAAACCTTCCTCTTGAATCATTCTGTCTATTGATGAGAACTTTATCAAAATCTGTTGCGTAGTTTAAAAGATACAAGCGTACATACTTTGTTTTATACTATGTAGAGAAGTCAATGTTACAGCCTACATACGTCCTACTTCTGGGCACAGGGCAGAGGAGGCTCTCACTTCTGAGAAGATTTGAGGGCAAGGAAGTTATCGTGCTTCCACAATGCGTGTTGACGGACTTCAAATCCTTGAAAAAAAAATTTTATCTCTCAGACATGCAGGTTTCCTCACGATGTTTTCCTTCACCGTCGAGCACGTGGTAAATCAGCACGTATAATTACGATTAACAATTTCACTGCTGTCGATGGGGTTCGAACTCGCGTTGCTCGCATACTGCGAAATCTACAGCCAACGCTAAGCCCCTGCGCTACCACGGCTCTCTTATAGGCTGTAACTAAAGACATTGTGTGAAGACAATTTTAACAAACACAAATATTACTATTTACAATATTGACACAAAAATATCTATATTTTAAATTAATACATCACATTATTTCTACATGTTCCGGGTTGACTGGGAGAAAATGCCGTTATTTTTTTTATATGTATATAAATAAAAAAAGTTGTAGTAAGATGTGCAGTAAAATAAAAATAAATGAAAAATTAAAGACCCTTAAATGTGGTTATTAGAGCCATGCTGCAGGTATATTGTGGTTGTAGCACGAATGGGTTGGCACGACCGGGAAGAACCACACTCAGAGAATACTAGCGTAAAAATAGCAGCTTAATGTTGCTTTGTAAGTGAAGCGAACCGGAGACTTTTTACTTGATACAAGGCATTCCATCTATGTACTTAAGGGTGACAAAACTTCTATATTTTGATTGAGGATAAAATGTAAATGTCTATGGGTCACGGTAATCACTTTACCATCAGATGGACTTTGCGTTCATTGGTCACCCATATTTAAAAAAAAAAAACTATACATTAATTCCTAGATTGATTATCGTTAGCTTATTGAATTTTTAACTTGAAATTTTGTTTATAAATATGAATATAAATATACAGTCAGCCCTATAATAAATGTTTTAACATGCAAAGCTAGCGGTTATTAAACTGGAAAATGTTTTAAACAGGCAGTAATAGACGCGAATATATTCCCGACACTAATCGAAATATTAAGGCAAGCAGAATTCAAAACAAGGAAAGAAGCAGCGTGGGCGATCACTAATGCAACCAGTGGAGGCACCCATGAGCAAATTAGGTAACAATTATTAAGTTACTATGTATTTGTAGGAGAATGGAGTCGGCCATGCTGAATAAGAAGGCAGGGAATACAAGACAATATTTAGTTTCATTAATTATAAATTACACCTGGGAAATTTTATTATTAATTTTAAAATAATTATCCGTGAGCGTCTAGGATAAGCTAACTTGGTACAACTAGTGTACCGAGTCACGCTAGAGCCAAGACTGCCCGCTCCGTTTTTTTGCGCCCAAAAGCAAAGTAAACGGTTACCCTTCGGGAAGCGGGGGATTGAGGTGGTGAATGCTTTAAGTATACCACGCAGCGGTTATGTGGGACTCACTGTGACACCTAAGTGCCTACCCAATAAACACCACCTTGGACTGGCTTTGGCCTGTATGGCCTTTCTGCCTAATCGGAAGCGACCCCCTTTTAGGGAAAGGGGGCGCAGGCCCGCTGCGTCGTTGCGCGGTGGTTTTATATCCCTTGCAGAAGTCGAGTAGTGCGGCGTGGCGCGGCGCGGCGCGGGGCACACGGCGGCAGCTCGGTGCGCGTGCTGGTTACAATGCTTGCTGTGCCGGCGTACGACGACGCCGCCGTCATGCCGTCATATTCTTTCTTTTCTTTTCTTATCGGCCCGTAAAATTCCTCTGCTGTACATGGGCTTCTCGTATAAAGGATAAGGTTATACCGCCATCTATCGGAATCAATGAGTACTTTAGGCTAGTCCATAGGCGTCGAAATACAAGAAGAAATGTGGTGATGGATACATCGCCACTATGCGACGGGTTTTCATTCTCAGCGCTGCCATCACAAACTTGCTGTTAATCAAAATGTTAGTCAATACTACAAAAATCAATATTTAGTTCTAACCGAGAAGTGTAGCCTGATTATAGATAGCCTATACTATTTCTCATTAATTTGGATATCATATACCAAAATAATTAATCGGAGTGATAGTTCCAGAGATTAGTGTGTTTAAACAAACAAAAAACTTCTCTATATAGATCTCGTCATTCATACTTCAAAATTTGAAACATGAGTGTACAATTTTACAATTGTTCGAATTGATTCCAGTCGCCAAATTCCACCATCGCATATCGCGACAAAATTCGCGATACCATCCACACCATCTGCATACTTGACCATTAACCAGAAGTTTTCTTTCTCACACGAGTACTTTGTGGAATCTGCTACCACCAGCGATTTTCCCGAACCGATACAACTAAGTGATGTTCAAGAAAAGAGCGTTACATTTTTTTAAAAGCTGCCGGCAATGCATCTGTAATTCCTCTGGTGTTGTAGTTGTCCATGGGCGGCAGGCGAAGATAAGCGTTTCTCATGTAAATTGAAAAAATCTAGCATAGCCTTAACATGCGGTTTTCCTAAATATACATCTGTGGTTAAATCTCGAACCTTCAGCTAAAGGGCTGGTGGCATGGAACACTAATTGTTAATCCGATTTTAATATCTTCTAGAACTGAGTATTGTGTGATGATACCTAAGAAATTCAGCATCTTATTTTATAAAGAGCGAAAGCAAAAATGCCATAATATATTAAATATTCAAATGTTTGATGAGAAGCTAACATCTAAATTGGGAGTAATTCCAATTTTAAACCACTTCTTTTTTGTCATTCATGTCTGGATTTATGTTTTTCTTTTTTTTCATAAATACAAGCTATCACTCGATTATTATATTGTATTGGTTGATATCGATTAAGCCAATTTTTTTGAAAATAGTATGCGTAAACGCACATACGCGTATGCGTGCGTGTGCGCGCATACATGATTGTGATGTATCGTGCATGTGTACATGCAGCGTGTGTATTTTAATGTGATAGGATAGTTCGTGGCCCATTACGATCATTGAGTACATTACCTTATGAAGTAAGTAATTTGAAATCTTTCCAGTTATTTGGTTGAACAAGGTTGTATACCGCCTTTATGCGACCTGTTGACGTTAACGGACGCTAAGACTGTACAAGTAGCACTCAATGGACTCGACAATATATTAAAAGCTGGACAGCAGTCCGAACAACTTAACCCCTATGCGGCGCTCATCGAAGAGTGCTTTGGTAAGTAATTAATTATATTTTGAGGACAAAAAATTTACTTTATTTTTAAATTAAAGTTAGTTGCGTTTATTGCATCCAACGCGCGGTTTTGAGCGAGTGACCAAGCCCTGCCAAAACTGATAAATTCCACATCGTTTCGGAAAAATAATGCCTTTGGTTGAAGCACTATTTTGAGGATGTGAACTTAACTTTTGACATACCACGGACTCTTATATCGTATTTGGTAAATGTGAAATTTTCTATTTATTTAGTAGTCACTTGTAAACCAAGGTGTAATTTTGTCTTGCAGGTTTAGACAAAATAGAATTCTTGCAATCGCACGAGAATCTCGACATATACCAAAAGTCATTCGAGATAATCGAGAATTACTTCGGTTCTGAAGGAGAGGACGGTCGTTTAGCGCCAGAAGTGTCCTCAACTACCGGACAGTATCAGTTCAGTGCTGACCAGTCTGTACCAATGGGCGGTTTCCAGTTCTAACAGTGGACTTACTAACTTATACATGCATATATATGAGCAGTAAGTATTTAATTTCAATTTATTAAATCCTAGAAATTTCCTGTGTAATTGTGGTAAATAATCTGCGCGCGTTCTGAATGCGATAGAGCCTTGTTGAACTTACTTGAACATTAAAGTTCAAAGTAACATTATTAAAAAACAAAAACAAAATTAAACTTCAAGAGCGAAGTAAGGCTATAGCAAAGAAGTTCTAAATATTATTTTCAATACGTTAATACAGGGACTTTGTTCTTGTGCGAAATATTTATCAACTGCGTTTTCGTTTCATTATTGTCTACACAATAACTTTAATCGCAAAAATTGCCTTAATATACATAAGCAAAACTTCACGTCAAATAACACGTCTATCGTCTCTCGAGCTGTGATGCGAGTTCGCCAAACCAAAAGAGAAATAGGATTGCAATCTTGCAGATGTTTGTTGGGCAAATAAAAGCTTATAATACATCAAATAGAATGAAGCGTATTAACTTGCAAGTATGCAACTGAAATTAACTTTCATCGAGGGTAATTTAAACGAGTCGATAATTGTCATGATTAAAATGGCTACCTGTTTTGGGTGCCACTTTAACTAGGGAGGGCAAATTTGTCTCGATTGCTTTAGCAATGGACTCAAAATCTTTGATACGAAATGATTGGACAAAAAGCTTTTCACCAGTACACCTAAATGTTCAATACTTGGTGGCTTGGTTTTAAAGCTCTCTTCTCTTACTTCGCTTTATCGAAAATACCGAACAAGAGCGTTTATATATTCTGTACTTTTTATATTGAAATACCATCAAAAACTTCTATTTAAAATATTTGTTTGATTATGTTTATGGACTGAAAACAATCGTAATTTTTTTTATACAGAGTGGGCCAAAAATTTTTGACACTTGATTTCTCTAAAACCTAGAGAACCTTAGAGGGAGGGGCATTAGGTAGCGGGGGATTCTGCGTCGCTTTACGCAATTTTAGTCACGATGTAGTGCTTCACGGGACAAGAGCGTGCTTTTTGTGTAAAACAATTTTACAAAAATAACGATTCCTACGTTACTGTACGACGCCTATTTAGAATTGAATACGGACTACGCCGTGTGAGTGTCCAAGTGTTCATTTAATCAAAGCTTGGGTCAAGAAGTTCGACATAAAAGTGGATCGACAACGAATATTAAACAAACAGGGTGGCCAGGTTTAAGAAGAAGCGATGAGAACATTCGGAAGGTTGAAATTTCCGTGAAGAAGAATTATCTACGCGTAAGCGTTCGGCTGCTCTGGCAATACCAAGGACTAGTGTTACGGCCCCCAGCTGCCCCTGCAAAGGTCGCCTTGGCTAGGGCCCATAGTAGCCTCCTCGACGGGCAGCTGAGGGTTCGGGCCCAATTGGCCTTATGGACAATTGACATATCATACTACACAATAGGCAGAAGGCTAGGTAAATAAATAGTACGTACCTGGATCCGAAGCTAAGACCGCACCAAGGCTCGGTCAGGCCGTAGGTAGTTGTAGGTGCATGTAAAGTGGTGTTTAGTGGTGTGTATATTTATGTATATGTATATATTTTATACGTGGTAGAGCCATGCTGCATCTATATTATGGTTGTAGCACGAATGGGTCGGCTCGACCGGGGAAGGACCACGCTCTCACAGAATACCAGCGTAAAATACCAGCTTAACGCTGCTGTGTTTCGTATGGTGAGTAGAGAACCGGAGACCTTTTTTACTGGAAACGAGGCATTCCATCTTAGTCCTCACGGGTGACAACGCATCTGCATTTTGACTCTTAATCGAAGATAGATGTAGATGTCTATGGGCCACAGCGACCACTTACAATCAGGTGGACTGTGTGCTCGTTTGTCACCCTTATCCTATAAAAAAATGTGACCTGGCCCAGCTGAGGTGACCGGGCAGCGGCCTGGTCCCATGCTGCCCCACAATGCTGCATCACTCCAGCAGGCGTCACCAAGTGACAACTTCTTTCTTCATTTTACTATTTCAGTCTATCAACTTTATTGTACATTTAACTAACTTCAACTCAACTAATTCAACGTTCATCGTAAAATCAAACACGTTATACCCGACACAAGTAACGAACAGTAGTTCAAAGTTTAATATTCAAGGTTCCGGATTCATTTATCACCAAATTACAAATAGGGAACTAACGCGATCTCTTCACGAGTCACAAAGTTCAGCGTTATAACCAACAACTAAATTCCTTCATACTATATTAAATACTACGCCGCAATAAGAATTCAAAATCAACCTAGCTGACACGCAAAGTAACTAAAGAGTCAACACACAAAAGGCTCTTAAAACGCGGCGGTAAAATTGCAACGAAATTGCTCTAATCACTCAAATTAAAAATAAGCCTCTTGTCACGAACGTACAACTTAGACAAACTAAACCGAGGCGGTCTTCACGAAACCACAATTCAGTAGCGAAGTAACGCGCACAAATACTAAATATCTAGACCATAAACCCAAAAAACTGGTCGCGCGAAATATATGCAGCGGTAACCAAAATACGCTAATTGACCGTACAGCTGCTCTCAAGCTACTGTCCTTCGCCCACGAGCGCCAAACGCTGGGAAGCTGCATACCGATGCCCCCTCCCTGCGACGCGCGTGACACCTAACACCATCGGGCGATTGGATGCCGTCTCAAATGACCATATTTGGCCTAAACAACTAGTCTGCGGCGAATTTTGCACTTGTACCTCAAACTACACCCATATAAGATTCAAAATGTGCAAGAGATGAAACCAAATGATTATATTCAACGTAAGTTATTGAATGACACTATGCTGCAGCGATTCTCTAGCCTTGAGAATGTATTATTTACGGACGAGTTCCATTTTCATATCAATGGGCACGTAAACAAGCACAATTGTCAATATTGGAGCAGAGAAAACCCTCGCCTAAACCAAAGGCTACTTCATTCACCTAAAACAACATTATCGGCTGCCATATGAGCAAAGGGTATAATCGGCCCGTATTTCTTTGAAAATAATCAAGGAAATAACGTACCTGTGAACTCAGTGGAATACGTGAAGATGTTGCGAGTTTTTGACGCCACAGTTATATGAGTTTGAAGGATACAACAGCAGTACTTGGATACAGCAAGATACAGCAACATGCCATACGTCAAATGTGACTTTACCGGTGGCCAAAGAAATGTTTCCTAACAAAATGATTTCTCGGAGAGGTGATATGGGGATACCTGAAAAGTCGAGTGTACCTTAATTAACCGACAAATGTATCACAATTAAAAGAAAACATCAACGAGGAGATATCCGCGATCCCTCACAGCATGTGTCAGCGAGAATTCCAAAGTTGGCGTAGTCGATTGCAAGAGTGCCAACGACGAGACGGGGTACGTCTCGACGTTGTCATTTAAACTAAATAAATTTCACTAAACGTTTATTACGTTAAATAAATTATCAACAAAATAACGTTTGTAGTTTTATTTCTATTCATCTACTACAGTGTCACTTATGGGATCCAGATTTTTTGATTTTCTTTGCACTTAACCAACCACTAGGCTAGACGTCCGTCTAGTAGGTAGTACCACTTACCTATTTCAAAACGCACTTGAATCAATTTTAAACGTTTTTTACAGGTGCCTGTACCCAGGAGTGGATAAAATCCTTGTGGACTTCGGCGAAATAATCTACATCGGAGTGTGTTTATATTTTGCACCGGGACTGTTGACAGTGGGATTAATTACAGGAGATTAGAAATCACAATTTAATATCAAATTATTAACCTCGCCTCTTTATTTTTTTTTGCTTCTGTAGATAAAGGCGTATAATATATAGTTCATTTATTATATTGTATAAAATATATTTTGTTGGCTTTTATGTCCATCATTGTTACTAAAACACTGTATGATTGTTATGTAATAAAGAAACATTTTTGTTCGTTATATATTACAGATTGGTACCAAAACATTCATGCTTTTTTGTTTTTGTATTATATATTGTAATATAATATACTAAATAGATATACTAGCATTTCTTTAGAGAGATTTTATTTCTAACAAGACAAATACCCTATATTTAAATTTTTTTACTGTGTTTTCTTTAAAGCACTACTTACTACAATAATTTAAAAAAGAAGTCTATTAAGAGCTTTAGCTCAGCGGCAGGATATTTACGAATTATGCGATCGGATCGAGTTCTCTAAGATACCCGATAATATTACAAAAATGTTGATTGCAATGAAACCTACTAAAACCACTGAATAAATAATAGTACTACGTACAGAAGTTGCACCTCTTTGATGTTGGCTACTTGCCATTGATTTAATAGCCTAAACAATAATTATTAATTAGATAAATCACGCACGCAAGCTAAATTAAACTTTAAGTTTCATTTAATATTAAGCTAATTTAAAGTACTAGTAAAACTTAATTAAATTTTAGCGCGTAATAATTATTACTTATTAACATATTTTAAAAATGAGAGTTTTTATTACGCTGTAATCTTTGCAATTGTTATCAGGATGGATTTGACAGAAGCACAACAGCCATTGAAACAGAGTTGAAAAAGGGGTTCCACCACAAAATGTAAGCGAATTTTGAGGCTGCCACCGTGAGTGGCGCTATAGGTCAGCTGATTGGGATAGGATACGGACTCTTTTAGCATTCTAAACCTGGGGGCGAATTTGCTTCTGGTCATCTTGTCTGACTCACCGATGAGCGGAGGCAATTAAGACTAAGGGTAAAGACCTTGACGGTTAGTTTGCACATAGCGAAGGCCTTCGATACAATGCAATTTATACAAATTTATTTTTAAATACAAAAGGTTTGGTACAAACCACTACCGATAAATTATATGGTTGGGACACAAGGTTTCGCGCAGATTGGACCCCGTCAAGTTAAGGCCAGTCGGTGCATGCTCTAAATCGAAGCTTGTGAATGTTAGTGTTCCATAAGGCTGCAAGCTATTGCCTACGCTATTATTTCTGCACAATAACAATATGTTACAAACTAGCAACAATCAGTCATGTTATCAGACGACGACACTATCTTTATAAGTTCATACACCGGTCGTGCTAATATTTCTCGGGAAACGTTGTCGATTGCTGGAACAAAGTGTGTGTGTGTGTGTATGTTGTCTGGAGTAAACTCTTTGTTAAACTTAGTCTCGGACTGGGGGCGAAATCTAGTTCAGTTTAATCCCGTAGAAAGCAAAAGATTGCGCATTCACCGCTAAAAAGCTCTGCCTTAGTCGTCTCCTAAATTTCGTGATAACTCCCTTGTTGCCTCAGCTAGCACGAAATCCTTCGAAACGACATATATAGTAACATACAGAGCCTCTAAAAAGCTTTGTGTGGCCAGTAGATCGATTCGATTTCATGCTGGCCTGCCATTTCCATTTACAAAGCGGAAGTTCGGTCTCATATGGAATACTGTTCTCGTCGGCTTCGGCTTGATACGCTGGCCTTGCGAAGAGACGAATGCATTAATGTCCACCTTCAATCGCATATAGTAATAATAGTGAGGATTTCAGCTGCTGAATTCTAGCATCATACACTGCGACAGACTTCGAAATTCCATCCACATTATCTCGATGGTTGGCGGTCCACAACAGTGCGATTTACATAGAATTTACTGGCACGAAAGACCATATTGTGTAATTTACTGTCGCCAGCGTATCCCTTCAAACCTACGAAAACAAAACGAATCCTTTCTAAAAAGATAGCAACACACTTGCAATTTCTCTGGTCTTTACAGATGTTCATGGGCGACAGTGATTTCTTACCATTAGGTGAGTGTTATTTCAAAGAAAGGTTACGCCGATATATAAATATGTATATTTGTCAATTGTGAACCGACAAAATAGGTGATGATGTTTTTTATATAATTATTTGAGGACTAAGATGTGATATCCTTAGTCCACTCAAAAATTCATAAAAATTAACTTATGCCTCAAACATCTATCATTGTATTATATATATTATTGATAAAGAACTATATGCGTGGCTTTTAATTAACCCTCGACAAAAAAGTTTGTAGTGTATCTGTATGTCTGTCTTTGGCATCTTAGCTTCTGAACCAATGAATTGATTTTGATTAAGTTTTCTTTCGATTGAAAGGTGTCTTAATCGAGTGTTCTTTGCTATGTTTCAAGAAAATCTGTTCAGCCGTTTGATGATCATCAGCTCTTTTTGTTTCGGGTTTTATTTAATTTTTACAAAATTAACTTATACATTTTTAAACATGAATATGATTAAAATAAAACACAAGTGAATACATCAGGTAATTATAATATCGAAAACAATAACATAACAATTAAACAAAACAAACAGGATAACAAACATATGTAAATAAGTAACCGAAATATCTTCTTGGAATCTTTGTGGAAATATCTGTCACAGCCTTATCAAACTTCTCACGTGTTCCCAATACCACAGAATAAATAAAAGTACCACGCGTGTTTTTAAGCCCCTCAAACTCAAACAAATAACGGTCCTTTTTCTGTTTTTAATAGATTGATACAGTTAGTTTATCAAGCAAACTATATAAAGTTAGTCTGAGCGGTTATTTCATTACTAGCCCTTGAAAGTGAATGAAAAAAAAAAATCTTGCTAACTACGTATAATTTCTCTCGGTCGTATTAACAAAATAAATAATGTGTCAAGCTTGTCTCTATCTATTCTCTAGCCCCTTCGGTATTTCGCGCTATGCAGTGTAATTTATTTATTTTAAGGAGGACTATGTGCTATTTTGTCGCCGTTTCCAGTATAAAAAAAATAACTTCGGCTTCTTTATCTACTCCTATGATCTATGAAGTCCATGGAAAACAACACCACACAAAACACCGCGTTCGATAAAACCTGCGTCCCAAATGTTTCTGGATTAAAAACAAATAGTAAATAATCATTTGCCTTCTTACTCTTTTTCTTTGTCCTTGTAAACCATCACACATCAGTAAATTGCACAATGTGGTCGTATACAGTTTGGCAGGGTTCTTCATAATGTAGGTACACGTTGGGCAATCGCAATACTAGAAGTCTCGCACCTTTGACGCTGCTCGCCTTCTGCATTCGTTGGTCTGGATATTTGGCATATGGTATTTACGAACATATACGAGATGATTATTTCGTCATCTATCACCATATCATAGTTATCAGACGTAACCACAAGATCATCTGGGTTCAGGATGTGTCCATATGTCACCTCTTATAACAATACGGGACGAGATGGGTTGATTGATTCTCGTTTTCTTATTAGTATTTTTCATGGTTAAATAGGTACAATAACATAAGTTCCAAAATGACTTAGGAAAATGTCTGTCTACCCACCGTAATTTATAGAGGTAGTCATTTCCAAACTTTGTGTTGAACTACTTGGTTACATTGTTACTAAATGTTAACTGAGTAAGACTGTGATAGAAATTATCTTTATATATGAAAATTACGTGTCACATTGTTTGTCCGCGATGAACTCCGTATAGAATAGTTTTTATCCCGACAAGTGACCCTCAATATTTTTATTGCGAATTTAAAAAAAAATTAAAGGATAGTGAGTGGTCGGAAAGGGCAGAACGAAGTTTGCCTGGCCAGCTAGTACAGAAATACTTTAGTCACTGTGCCAACTTGATTAATAAATAATTAGATATTCCTAATTAAAGTTGATTTAGTAATTTAGTGGTTATAAAAGGCAATGTTTAAAAAAATGTTATTCAAGTAAGGGTGGTAAATGAATAACACTGCATTGTCGTAAAACGCCGCATATCGAAGGGATCAGAGGTAGAACGCACTTTTGACGTATCATCATATTCTTTTAATTGTTATTATGACTAGTTTTTGTTAAGTGTTTAGTATATTTAATTGTAGGATAAAATAGTTGAAAAAGATTTAATGTAATATAAGAATAATATACATGTATATTACCTATCTATTTCAATGATAATGGCAAAACGTCCTACTATAATTACTGTGGGGAAGGGGATTGATACCTAATGAGCAAAGCGAATGATTCAGATATATCATTTTTTATGTTACCGAAGGATAATGAAATGTGTTGTTTTTTTTGTTAGATAGGTACTTATAGCGAAAAAAAGAATTAAGTAATAATTTAACTACAGAAGTAATACCTCAGTACTTTATTACAAAACTTAGTTGAAATTTACTTCACTATTTTAACTAAGTAGATAACGACCACATTTCTATTAGGATTCGTATTTCGGGTTTATTTGTTGTTTACACTATCTACTTATTTCTTACGAGACATAAAATCGCGATTCCCGACGAATGGCCTTACAAGTTGCATGTGTTGGGTATTACAGAACTCACATAGTAGCGGAAATATGGACGATCATAGTCGGAATAGGTACTTTACCTAAGTAACTTACTTACAATTTCACAATGTAGGTATTTTTATACTCTTTATTAACAGTCCTCAATAACCACGGAAAGTCCGTTGTGTCGTAGAAGGAGAAAAGATGAAAAGTAATACTCGCGCGCAGCGATAAAGTTTAATTTAACTTGCGTGCACGATTTATCTGATTAATAATAACTATGCAGGCTATTAAAACGTCGACAAGCAGTCAACACCAAAAGAGTGCAACTTCTGTACGTAGTACTATTATTTATTCTGCCGATCTGTTGTGCTCTCTTTTTGCGTCCAACTCGACTCTAGATGACGGGGGGAACACACCGCCGACCATCCCGCGATGTGAGTGCTCCATGCCGGATGTGCGATTTACACAGCGCTCGGTTCGCAAAGCACTCTTCTCCCTGGACGTCAGCAAGTCGAGTGGGCCCGATGGAGTCCCTCCCATTGTGCTGAAGACGTGTGCTCCGGAGTTGGCACCGGTTTTAACGCGTCTTTTCCGGTACTCCTACTCCCAAGGCGTAGTCCCGAATTCATGGAAGACAGCTTTGGTCCACCCGATCCCTAAAAAAGGCGACCGCTCAGACCCGTCCAACTACAGGCCTATCGCCATCACCTCCTTGTTCTCCAAAATAATGGAATCCATTATAAACTGCCAGCTCATGAGGTACCTTGAGGATCACCAGCTGATCAGTGACCGTCAGTACGGTTTTCGTCGGGGTCGATCAGCAGGTGATCTTTTAGTTTACTTAACTCATAGATGGGCGGAGGCAGTAGAGTCCAAGGGGGAGGCATTGGCCGTTAGTTCGGACATAGCGAAGGCCTTCGATCGGGTCTGGCACAAGGCGCTTCTTTCGAAGCTTCCTTCCTATGGGCTTCCCGAGAAATTGTGCAAATGGATCACCAGTTTCCTTGCTGATCGGAGCATCAAGGTCGTAGTAGACGGTGCATGCTCTGATTACAAGCCTATCAACGCTGGTGTTCCACAAGGCTGCGTGCTATCACCAACGCTGTTTCTCCTGCATATCAATGATATGTTGCTAACTGGTAGCATTCATTGCTATGCAGACGACAGCACTGGGGATGCCTTATATACCGGCCGTGCCAATATTTCTCGGGAAAACGTCGCCGAGTACCGGGACAAACTTGTGTCTGAAGTCGAGTCTTTGCTTAACAAAGTCTCGGATTGGGGCCGACTAAATCTAGTCCAGTTCAATCCCCAGAAGACACAAGTTTGCGCGTTTACCGCTAAAAAGAACCCCTTTGTCGTATCTCCTCAGTTTCAAGGCACTCCCCTTGCTGCCTCAGCCAGTATCGGAATCCTTGGCGTCGACATATCGAATAGCGTGCAGTTTCGTGGTCACTTGGAAGGGTAGGCCAAATTGGCCTCTAAAAAGCTTGGCGTGCTCAGCAGAGCGAGACAGTATTTCATGCCGGCACATCGCTTGCAACTTTACAAAGCGCAAGTTCGGCCCCACATGGAATACTGTTCTCATCTCTGGGCCGGGGCACCCCAGTGCCAGCTCCTTCCACTTGACCGCATCCAGCGCAGAGCGATTCGAATCGTCGACGACCGAGTTCTTTCCGATCGGCTCGATACACTGGCACTGCGTAGAGATGTTGCATCTCTTTGCGTATTTTATCGCATCTATCACGGGGAGTGCTCTGAGGAATTGTTCGGACTAATTCCAGCCGCTCAATTTCACCATCGCACGTCGCGACAAAACTCGCGTTACCATCCATACCATCTGGATGATTGGCGGTCCACCACTGTGCGATTTAGAAGAAGTTTTCTCCCTCGCACAACTTCTTTGTGGAATCAATTACCACCAGCGAATTTTCCGAACCGATACGACTTAGGAACCTTCAAGAAAAGAGCTTACACCTTTCTAAAAGGCCGGCAACGCATATGCAATTCCCCTGGTGTTGCGATTGTTCATGGGCGGCGGTAGTCACTTAACATCAGGTGAGCCGCATGCTCGTTTGCCCCCTATTCTATAAAAAAAAAAAAAAAAAAAGACGTCACCTTATGCTATGTGAAAAATATTATAAAATATAACATACTACTGAGGTATATCTTTCATTGTATATCGCTTTACATTATATCACAAGTTTGGTATCGAAATTACGACCTTGATGAGTTTAAAATTATTGGCATTGAGAACACACATTTAATTCTTCACACATCGTTCTAGATTACCAAAACACGCCAATATCATCTAAGTGGGCAACTACTCGAAGAAATTTATTTTCCTTGTGCAGTTGTTCCCAGAATGACATTCTTTCGTGAAAAGGATTTACGCCTTTCGTCAAATTTGGACTTATACTCAGGTAATTAAGTTCATCTTTACTAGTCACTGGATCCCATGTTATTTTTAGAAGCGGATCATTTTCTTCCGGCGTGGGGTTCCTGTAACAATAATGCAGTCATAATTTTTTTTCACAAAGATAGATATGATAAACAAAAACACCCTTTTATCTACTCAGTGATACAAGATTCGAAACAAAGCATACCAAAGATGGCCGATATCAAATGCCAAACCTTAAATATTTCAAATTAGACAAAATAGACAACCAGCATAGACTCGAGACACCTGCCAATATAACTGCCAATCTGCTTGCCAAGCGATTATAGAGGTGAGAATTTGCTGAACTACGATTATCACTAATTTATTACATTTCGCGAAAATCACGTAACGACCCACTTACTTGCATTTGCAAAATGAATATTATATATTATACGTCAGGGCTTCTCAAACTTATTTTTACTGTGACGCCCTTAGGAATTTGCCACTTTTTTGCGACGCCACTCCTCTCGCCAAAAAATACCTACCAGTTGTAATTCTAGCCTAGTAATAAGAGACCAGAAAAACTGCAAATAACATTTATAATTTTTATTAAATAATAAGAAAAAACGAAAAGAACAAAAATGAAAAGAGACACTTTGTTGGCAGGCTACTAATGAGAAGGATGTGCTTGCTTTTCTGAGCATAGCTTCTCAAAACGTGACCCAAGTTTGGAAATTGCCACTCTCATCTCTTTCTCTACATTTATTTTCGATCTGTACTTGTTCTTTATTACTACAACTGCAGAAAAGCCTGTTTCGCACAAGTACGATGTCGCAAATGGTAATAGAACCCTCAATGCTGCATAGCTGATGGCACGATATTCGTGAGAAACTGAGCTCCAAAATTCAAGCAGTTTGCCTTTATCGTATTGGAGCTTAAGGCTGGAATCACAGGACAATTCTATTAATTGTTCTTCTTCCTTTGTCGAAAGTGTTGATGGTGAGGTCGACTGGAAAGGGTTTCTAACCCAGTCATATTGCCCCTAAATTAACTATTGAACCTAAACGTTGAGAGGCCGGTGCTTAAGAAACGCGTAAATAGGCAGTTACGGTTTTAAAAATATTAAAGAACTGACTTTATTGAATGACACCACAAAAAATTTCAATTAGTTAATAGACGGGTCTCCACTTTCACCGTGTGATATTTATAAAAACATCTTGATTTTAAAAAAAAAATTTTTCAACAATGGTAAAAACTCTTAAAACGGCCTTTTCTATTATAAATCTCTAGGCCATTTCGTTATTATTTTAGAAAATCTTTTTGGTTAAAACGTGAGATAAAAGTATAGACAACACATTCACCATTCATTATTTTTACTAATTTAAACCAAAAAGCAACAATCTAAGCCTATAAATATCATTAATTTTTTAAACAGAAATCGTCCATACATTTTAATATGAAACGGTTAGTTTTCCGTAATTCGCTTTGTATTAGAGAACACGCGTGAAAAAAATTCAGTGCCGCCTCAATTTTCGAGGTGAGTGCACGTCTGTTTGTAGCCCGATTTGACAAGTTGAGTCGATACATCTATTGTTTGATAAGGGTGGGTCGTGAGTGTCGGACTTCATTATTTTTATTATTTGTATTCTTCGAGTAAGTAGACTAACTAGGTGTGTGAGTTTTATTATGTATTGTTTGTTGTGATTATCAGAAATTAATGTACTTAATAAAATAGTAATTTATTTTAATATCTATTTTAGGTAGATAATATGGGAAAACGCAAAGAAAGTTATTAGAATAAAAAAATCTAATTAATAATGTAAGCATATGAAGTGAACCACTCACATAAAATAAATATGAACGTATTAAATATTATTAGGTATTCATGAAGAGATATGGAATTTTCATAAACTACCAGCACTTTATTAAAATATTTTCATTATTATTTCTATTATATTTAAATTTAAAGTTTCTGAGAATAACTGTATCCAGAAAAAAATATTGGAAATAACTTCGCTTTTAGCACTAATGTTATAATAATATATAAATTTAGGCGAAAATAATTTTTATTATAACTACTTTAATGTATAAACAATAACATTATACCCATTTATTTACAGAAAACACGAATTAAGTAAATTATTTCTTTTAAGCAGTAAAAAATTGCCGCAATGGTTGCAACATATAAGATATGATCCGCCATCTTGAAAGATACTGTTGCGGGGATCATTCACACACAAACATTGGGGGTGCGCGCGTTGCACAGCGGCTCGCTTTAAAAAAATGATGTATCGGCCATGTCAGTGACCTCACAGTAGCCGTAGGTATGTCGGCACTTGTCGTTTAGTTCAGATGCAAATAACATTTTTAGAAATAATAAATTTAGTTATTTGATTAGAAACGCTAAAATCCCCTTCATAGTACACCTATACGTCCCTGAAACGAACAACGGATTGTTTGTTACATACTGTATAAATTGTTTAAACCACTGTGATTGTTTAAATCTGTATTTACCTTTTTTTAATAAAAGATCATTCTTATGAAACCCACATTTCCCCATATTACACAAAACATTGATACTATTTTAAATTTGATCATAAATAAAGCATAATAGTTAAAATAATGCCTAGAAAGCGTACACTCTGGCCCCACCCTTTGCCGTCAGCTATGAATTACGGTCTCGCGGACTTGCAATGTGATAAACAAATGTCATGAAAGAAATTGCAAAGGACTACATACAATGCGTGTTTTTGACATTCATGAACATCCTACGAAGACGAACGCGTGATGAATATGTAACTTGTGCAAAACACCAAAAGTAACTTATTCATGTCCAGGATGCGTATACTAACACTGCGAGATGAGTCTGTGTGGCTAGAAAATATCAATGTAGGTGTTCTATTAGAAGTTCCCACGCTCAAGGACTGCAGAGATTGAGAGGTTCTGTGGGCAGCTGTACACGTCATCGTTGGAGCCACACGAATGTGTGAGTAACGATCCAAGAGAGAGTCTTATCCGACACTATTCCGAAGATATCCCGGACGTCAGTTTGAGCGAGATTAGAATGGCTCTCCAATTACGGGCGAGGATGGAATTACAGCGGAGCTTTTGAAAGCGGGTGGAAAACCGGTACTTGAAGTCCTTCAGAAGCTCTTTAATTCCTCCATGGTGGCAGTACTCCGGAGGCGTGGAGCAAAAGTGCGGTGGTATTGTTCTTCAAGAAAGGTGACAACGCTCTCTTGAAGAACTACAGACCGATTTCCCTTCTGAGCCGCGTCTACGTGCTGTTTTCGAGAGTCATTACGAATCGTCTCGCACGCAGACTTGACGACCTCCAGCCTCCCGAACAAGCCGGTTTCCGAAAAGGCTTTAGTACCATAGACCACATACACACCCTGCGGCAGATTGTACAGAAGACAGAGGAGTATAATCTGCCACTTTGCCTTGCGTATGTGGATTATGAGAAAGCCTTTGATTCCGTCGAAATTAGGGCGGTGCTGCAGTCCCTTCAGCGGTGCCAAGTTGACTGTCGGTATATCGAGGTGCTGAAGTGTTTGCACAGTAGAGCTACAATGGCTATCCGAGTACAGAATCAGAGTACGAAACCTATCCAACTGCAGAGGTGTAAGACAGGGTGACGTTATATCCCCGAAACTCTTGACCGCTGCATTGGAAGATGTTTTCAAGCTACTGGACTGGAAAGGATGCGGTATTAACATCAATAGCGAGTAGATCACTAACCTTCGATTTGCCGACGATATAGTCCTTATGGCAGAATCGCTGGAGGACCTAAGCACTATGCTCAATGACCTCAATGTGTCTCAGAACGGATAGGTCTTAAGATGGACACGGACAAAACAAAAATCATGTTTAACGACCATGTCACACCTATGCCGGAAGTTGTTGGGAGCACTAAGCTCAAAGTTGTTGACGAGTATGTTTACCTGGGACAAATTGTCCGACTAGGTAAGTCCAACTTCGACCGAGAGGTCAATCAACGGATTCAACTCGGCTGGGCAGCGTTCGGGAAACTACGACGCATCTTCTCGTCAGACATACCTCAAAACCTGAAAACGAAATTGTACAAACAGTGCGTGTTGCCAGTGATGACTTGCGGATCTGAGACGTGGTCTTTCACTGCTGGCCGTATGAGGAAGCTCAAGGTCACTCAGGGAGCTATGGAGAGGCCTATGCTCGGGGTTTCTCTGCGTGATAAACTTAGAAATGAGGATATCCGCAGTAGAACCAGAGTAACCGACATAGCCCAACGGATTAGTAAGCTGAAGTGGCAGTGGGCCGGCCATATAGCTCGAAGAACCGACAACTGATGGGGAAGAAAGGTTCTCGAGTGGCAGTCTCGTACCGGTAGGCGAAGTGTAGGGCGACCCCCCACTAGATGGAGTGACGACCTGGTGAGACATGCAGGAAGTCGATGGATGCAGGTGGCTGAGGACCCTGCTTTGTGGCATTCCTTGGGGGAGGCCTATGTGCAGCAGTGGACTTATGAAAGGCTGTAATGATGATGATGACGATGATATTGCTCCAGATTTTCGGGAAAATTGTTTTCAAAATGTCCACTTAATGATGACAAGTGCTGTGTAAATATTAGCTTTAGAGAGGGATCAAGGCTTTCTATCGAGTTTTCTTGTAGAATGCATTGTAAAGCAGGGAAACAGCCGGTATGTACACGATCTTCTTCTAATTTTCTCTTCCATAAGAGCAAGTTCTTCTGAAACCCAGTGATTTTGTCTGCCAGTTGCAGTATGTGAGTATTGTTTCCCTGCAAGGACTTATTAAGATCATTTAATTTCTGAAAGATGTCACAGAGATATGCCAATTTTATTATAAACTCTGTATTAATAGAGTTTTGCGCATCATTGTGTGATTCTGTCTGTAGATAAGTATAGAACTCATTTCGTAGTTCGTATACACGTGCGAGTACATTGCCTTTGGACAACCAACGAGAGTTGCAATAATAAATAAAAGAAGTATACTCGGCACCCAATTCTTCACAAAAGTTATGGAAAAATCTCGCTTTCACAGGTCGTATTTTAATGTAGTTCACCAATTTTCACAAATTTTATCACATCACAAAATTTAATTCAGGTGTAACTCTTTGCATCTAAAGCCTCTCAATGTATGACACAGTGTGTCTATTTTACATTTGGAGCCTTGGTTTTGATGAGAGCTTGTAGTCCTCCATACTGTCCAGACATCGGTCGAGCACCATCCGTACACACATCCACACAGTTCTCCCATTTAATATTACTTTCGATCATGTATGAATTTAAGATCTCAAATAGATCAGTAGCCTTACCACTTTCACATATTTTTCTGCAAAATAAAAATTCCTCACACACATTTGTTTCTTGTATGTACCGCACGTAACATATCAATGGAGCATCGTCACTACTATCCGTCGCTTCATCAAGTTGAATGGCAAATAAGCCTGAAAGTTTCTCAACAATTTGCTCATTAATATCTTGTGCCATGTCATGAATACGGCGGCTAATCGTATTGTTTGAAAGAGGAACATTTTTTATTTCTTTAGCCACCGATTCTCCAATCATCACTAATACCATATCAACCGCTGCAGGTAAAATTAGTTGCTCAGTAATTGTACGTGGCTTCTTACATTTGGCAACACAGTGAGCTACCTTGTAGGAGGCAAGCAATGCTTTGGTAGGAACTGATGCTCTTGAAAGCAAAGCCGTGGACTGATGTTTCAGTTCTCGCAATTATCTAACAAAACAGTCTCTCGGCTTACCTTGTAAATTACGTTTATTAATTATTAATTGTGAGTTGTTTCCAAATGACGTTTTAGTTTATTAGAAAGCATACTTTCAGCTGCCAACACTTTATGACAAACAACACATTGAGGAATTTCTACATTCCCTTTAGTAATGTAGGTAAATCCGAAATCCAAATATTGGTCGTCATATTTTCTATACTTCTTCCGTTTTTCTGACGTTTTTTTACTGCTTTCTCCCGAGTCTTCACTTCGTTTTCTATTTCTTTGAATAAAATTATCCCTAGTCAATATTGAAACTCCGCGTGCTTAATTAAAACAAAATCTTGACTGACTGAAAGGATATGTATACGCGGGGGAAAGGGAAATACACGGAGGGAGGTCGCGTCGCTCAGTTAGGAAAGCCTTGTTATACGTATTTAACTTACATAAAGCTGAAGGGGGACCTTCAGCTTTATGTAACAGTAATACACAAGCGATGATCGGAAGTCCACCTTACGACTTGATACTGTGGAAGTAAGCAAAGAAACTAATTTTGCCGTCAGCTTTCAAATCCTTCATATAGCGAATATTGCAGAACTTAATTATTTTGAAGCCAGTATATTATTATGTGCTCCCCACTAAAGCTTACCATTAACAGAAATTTTGAGAAATAAGGTCGAACTTACGGAATCTAAATTATTATTTTAAAAATAATTACAGAGTAATCTGTAAACTTTTTTCTTTATGTTAATTTTTTTAATAGTAAATAAAAAAAATTAAAAAAAATTCTTTATGTTAGCAAGTTACTTCCTGCAAATGATTTAGGAACAATATCCAGTATTTGATAAATATTTATTTAAATAATAATAATAATAATAAGGTATAATTAGAGTTTATTACAAGCCTTTTACGACAATGTTCATAAAAACATACCTCGTGGTGAGGATGGAGACGCATTCTTACTTATTGGCCATTTTGCAACACCCCACATTTGAATTGGTCCCCTAGTACTTATAGTAACGTTATGACACAGGGTATTTCATCCGACTTTAAATGTAATTGTCTTGTTGAATTATGAATCTTTGTAACTTAGTTCAACTTAATTCAATATAACCGCGAACAACCGTCTTCTTGATCTCGTTTTATCAACAACCATAGAAAGTGCTCGTAACATCTACTGAGCCTATTACTCGAATAGATTTTCATCATCCTGCACTGAAAATTATATTAATGGAAAATTAAAAATTATAAAATGAAGCGTGCGCAAAAAATAAGATACAACTGCCGTAAAAGTAATTATTCTGATTTAAAAAAGGATCTAGCAACTATTGATTGCTCTAATTTATCGAATGAACCGGATATAAATGATGTTGTCGATAAGTTCTACACTCTCGTAAATAAGTTAATTGCAAAACACACGCCGCTTGTAAGTAAAACCAATGACAAAAATATCCACGATGGTATAATTCAGCATTAATAGTGTCTCAAAGAAGGAAAAACATGCGTGAGTGTCGTGGAACACTCCGTTGGAACAAAGTTCCTTTCGTAGTATATATATTATTACTGATAAACGTATTATATTATTGATTAACAAATACAAATAAATGAATTACTAGCCTCTATGCGATGGATATTATTCCATTTCGCTTTCTTAACTTCGTTCCAAAAAAAATATCATCGTCGTTGTAAGAAATATCATAATCCTAGTGATTACGACACATGCACTGCTACGCACGAGATGTAAAAAAAAAAAATCGGCGTATGCATCGTTTATTACCTCCACGGAGGAGGGTTTATTGGACAACATAAAGATATTTTGGAATTATGTTAGCAATAAAATAGGTAGCTCCGTTATACCAGACTATGACTCTTGATACAGAATCTTCCTCTTATACACAAGAAATATGTGAACTTTTTCTCGGTATATTTAATAGTTTTCGAAGTTTCTCAATCTGTCATCAACCAGGATTTGGTTACTAATGATAGTGATAGTTATTGTAATTACAGTACTTGTAATATAGAACTAAGTCAAGACACAATATTGGACAAATTAAAGAAATTAGATATTCGCAAAGGCCCAGGGTATAAGACCAGGCATTCCCGCTATATTTTTCTCAAATTGTGCAAGGGAACTGTGTGAACCACTAACATTATTGTTTAATAAATCCTTAGTCTGGTGCTTTCCCTACCGTTAAGAAATTGTCTCACATCGTACCCATTCACAAGTCCGGAAGTAAGTTCAACTGCGAAAATTAGAGACCTATTAGCATTTTGTGCTGTGTTGCTAAGTATTCAAATCTGCGTTATATGATCATTTTTACTATCTAGCTAAGCCGCTTATATCCAGCAAGCAGCACGGTTTTGTGAGAGGCAGATCTACAGTGACTAATTTGTTAGAATACAAAAATTACTTATGTGAAGTTTTCGTCATCGGTGGGCAGGTGGACGCCGTGTTGACGCCGTGTATACGGCGTGTGACGACGATTTTACAAAATCTCTCGACAAAGTAAATCATTCTTTACTCTGTAAGAAATTAGTTATGTCGTACCTCACATAGCTAATGGAAATCTACTGCGCTGGGTTCATTCGAACCTCGATAACAGAAGTCACCTGTCACAGTTATAAATCCGGTGTGCCTCAGGGTTCACATCTCGGTCCGTTATTTTTATTATTTTTATAAACGATCTGATTTGTAAACTGTCCAGTCCTTGCCTCCTATATGCAGATGACTTGGAAATATGCCATGTGATCAGGGACTTAAAACGTTACAAATAACAGAATGTATAACGTTATAATAACGTTATAATGGTATCGTTACCTCAGCAAGCATAGCGTTTTCAATATTTAGTATAACGTTTTAAGAGTAACAGAACAAAATTGTGACAGGCAATTTAACGTTATTATAACGATAAAGACGCGACGTTGCCAAACCTATTCATTTTGAAAAGCGCGCGAATCTGCGCGACTTACGAGATGGGTGGGGCCTGGGATCCAATTGGTCTACTAGATAGCTTGGACGGACGAGGAATTCCTCGCACCGCACGCACTCCAGAAGCGAACTGGCAACGTTGTAAAGTGAATGAACATTTGATGATATCAACCGCTTGCGAATTGAGATTTGCGACGTATTAATAATTATACCTAGATATCATATTACTTATATTTATTTATTTTTTAAAGTTGATTCGAACTACACTTGTTTACAAATATTGAAAATGAATCGTAAAAAAATTAATCTTGATGAAAATAGTAAGACTACAAAATGTTTACTTGCTGGATGCGAAAAAGTTTTGAAGTTAAGTTAAGCAAAAATCGAAGATAACGTGTAGAAGAATGCGCCTTTTCTGTCAGTTTTTATTAAGAAAAATATTGTATTTATATATGTACAGGGTCTCCTAGAAAACAGGACACCAACCTACTTTATCTTCTGTTAGAGCGTGGTCCTTCCCCGGTCGAGCCGACCCATTCGTACTACAACTATAGTACTAATATAGCTGCAGCCTGCAGCATAGCTTTACCACATCATACCTTGTCATATTTACCTGTTAGATAGGTACCTATTCATATCTTAATGCATTATACTTTTTTAGATTTACGCAAATATTTGACATTTTAAATAAAACTATCAATATTATTTTAGCCAATATCATAAACACTAGTGAATCGATTTTGATGAAATCGATATTATTCCCTAAGTTGAAATAAATATGAGCAAATAATCCCTAAGTTGAAATAAATAAAAAACGAATGATCACGATCCGACTAGTTTCGGAGAAATGAGAATTAATGAATGCACGTATAAAATTTTGTATATTTGCTTGGAAGCTATAATAGATAATATGTGAATATTTTGCAGTTCCAATAATATTACAGACATACATGTCGAATTGATAACCTCATTTTTTGAAGTCGGTTAAAAATTCAAACCGACTTTGCGCTTAACAGAACATATCTTGAAAACTACTGAAGCGATTTTTATGAAAATTCTACTGTTCTTTAAGTTGAAAGATGCTTAATGTAATAAAAAGTGTGTGTGTACTTCTATACGCACGTAGGAATTTACACTTTTTTAGCGTAACAAACCAAAAATAACTAAAAATTATGTAGGATCCTGGTGACGATTAATTGACGACTCCGTGGCGCAGTGGCTTAATAATGAGTTGCAGCGCTAAAGGCCGCGGGTTCGATTCCCGAACGGAATAAGTATTTGTATGGCCTACAAATAATTGGACATAGTTACGCAAAAAGGATCCAATGTAATTTGTGTCAAAAATGAAAAATAATGTTTGTGGTGTATACTATTACGTGATGCAACAATTTTAGCAAAAGTAATACAAATAAAAAAAATGTCCTACATCATATCCATACTTATTTAAGTATAACAGCTATGTGTATGTGTAATATGTATAATAGTTATAGGTGTGGCGGCTGCGTCCGCCACGTTAGAAAAAGTCGCAAATATATCTCCGTTAATACGACACGTGTCTTCATTTATTGCAACCTTAATTGTACACCTTAGTGAATTTAGCAAGGAATAAATGTATTAATTAATTAAACCAATACAGTATTCATAAGACTGTACAAGAAGAAAAATTACAAACACACACACAAACCATACAGATCCATTCTTCAAATTTCATAACTTCAAATTAGCTTTCTTTAGGGATGGATACTTTTTGCATCACCACGTCCAATTGTTCTAGGTCTGTTTCTAGGTAATGTTTATCCTTGTGAAATCTATGTATGTAAACGTCCCCTGCGATACAGGAGAAAATCTAATTATAAAAGTAAATTTTGTGGAGATAACGTTTTTAAAAACACACACATATATATATAATTTTTTGTATTTAT